AATTCACACTTATATTTCAACAATCTCCCCCTCAAGTTTGAGTCATATAAATATATTTTTCTTATTTCTATATTTCAAATAGAGTGAATAGCATATAGTAAGTTAATAATATATCTTTAACTTGGAAATTCAAATGCTTCTTAATTCAGATATAATAATGAATTTCAATCCAATTGCGCTATTACCTTAAGACCCTTTGATAAACAAATATTCTAATATATATAGTTGTTCAGGAACTAACATATATTATTTTTTTGATATACTTTACTTCTTGTTATGTTTTTTCAAAGTATGAAGTATATATAATTTTTTTTCAAAACATAAAATTTTCTGAATATTTCGTTATTCAAAAGTTTCACTTCTTTGTATATATTATGTAATGCTTCAAAACTTATTCATAAATTTATAAATCCAAAAAAAATTGAAAAGATCTACAAGGACTAAAATCAAACTATATAGTTATGAAGATTTAAATCATAAGCCTTCAGGGCTATTTATAAGTTATTAGTCTTTAAAACTTTATATACTAAATATATATATATTTTAAAAATGATTTGTGTCCCTTAATATTTGAACCATAAGCCTTCGGGGCTTTAAAGACATCATAAGTTATTATTTTCATGTCATTCAATAACATAAGTGTAATAGCTGCTGGCCATTTAGTAATAGGAAATTATAATATTAATAAATATCAAATTGAATATCAAGAATATATGTGAATAAGATAAAAATAAAAATTTAAATTTAAATTAATTAAATATAACATAAAATAAAGAGAAAAAGGTAAACTCTTTTACCAACACATCCTTCACTATATAGTCATTAGTTTTCTGGACTACATGATTTATAATTCTAATTGTCATAATTTTTTTTTATAAACAAACTATATAATGATCCTTCTCATAATCAAAACTATATGGCTTCAAGCCATTTAATAAAAAAAATAAAGATACATGGCATCTAGCTATTTAATTTCAAAATAAAAAAATTAAAGATATATGGCTTCTGATCATAAGATAAAAATTTAATGTTATAGGGCTTCTAACCAATTAATAAAATAACAAAAAAATTAAATATTCATAACTTCTAGCCATAAGATTGAACATCAAAGTTATATGGATGCTAGCCATTTAAGAAGATATAGAAAAATTATATATATATGGTTTCTGGCCATAAAATAGAAAATTCAACATAATATATATAAATAAAGATAAATTAAATATTTATGACTTCTAGCCATAAAATAGAAAATACAAATTATATTGCTTCTAGCTATTTAATAACATAAAAATAATCAAATATATATGGCTTCTAGCCATAAGATAGAAAAGTTATACCTAAATACTTCTAGTTATTTAATGAGATAAAATATCAAATATATATGGCTTCAAGCCATTTTAAAAAATAGAGAATTTGCCATATATATATGGTTTCTAGCCATAAGATAAAAAAATCAAAGTTGTATAGCTTCTGGATATAATATAGAAAATCAAAATTATATGGCTTCTAGCCATTTAATTTGAAAAGAATGGAAAATCATAGTTATATGGCTTCTAGCCACTTAATTACAATGAGATGAAAATTTAGAATTATATGGCTTTTGGCCATTTAACTTTAAATGGTAACTCTTTACGGATACTATTAGTATCTATTGAAACTTCGGGTTCCATTAAAATAGTGACCTCAGGTCAATAAGAAATAGAGGGAAAAAATCTCTAATCATAGCCATGGAACCTGATGTTTAAAACAATGGTAGATAATCCTTTTAATTCCATATAATGGCTTAGATTATCCTAGATAAATTGAATAGGAATATAGATACTCTGAAACACCATATATATGATGCTCAAAATATTTTTATTTGAACAGAGTAAAGGATACTTGAGAAAAATAATGGAGATGATGCTCTTAAATTATGCTGGGTAGAAAGGTATATCATACACACCTTGGTTAGAGCTTTGTGCTGATAATGTATTATAAATAAAGAAGAAATAGAGAAAATCATATAGAGGAGAATCAACAAGAGAGAGTATTTCTCATTCCATTCAAGAGTGTTTAATACATTATACATGCCCTCTATTTATAGGCACAACTTTACATCTTTGATAGAATCTACAGATTACATAATAATATGAGATAATTGTAGGATATAGAGATAATGGGAGATATTAGAGATTACAAGAGATATAGGAGATAATGGGAGATATATGGACATCCACAAAAATATTATTATATTCATAACAATATTTATTATATATGATATGTCCTTAATATATTTATCATTGATTTCATATATACATATCAAAATAAAATCAATATAATTATACAATTTATTATAAAAAAGTGAAAATCACACGGCCACAAGGCTCAATAGCATGCATAGCAAACTCACATATGTTCACTTTCTCAATTAGTAGAAATAATACCTACATACCCATTATTAAAGAACTCTCAAATTTCTTAAAATAACAAATATTTGCTATATATGGTATGTTCTAAATAAATTCATCATAAATTTCACACATCAATATAAAAAATAAAATCAACATCAAAAAATATAAATAATATAATTTATTTAGAAAGGTGAAAATTGAATGGATCTAAGAGAAATATCAGAATGGGACACATGTTTACTTTTCCACTTTGTAAAATCAATTCCTAAACTTTTAAAGCACAAATCCATACTTAAGAAATATAAACATCCTTAAAATGAAAAATATTTGTTATATATGGTATATTCTAAATAAATTTATTATTGATTTCATATGAATATATATAAAATAAATAGAAAGTCAGTATATAAATAATACAGCTTATTGAAAAGAGTAAAAATCTCATGAGTCAACAGCAAGGAAAAAAACCAAACACGTTTTCACTTTCTTGCGTAATAAAAATAAGGGTTAAGCTCTATTTAGCACCTGGAAATGTCTTCTCAAATGCATTTAGTATATATTTTGTGGTGCATACAGTACCCTGAAATATTTTTTTTCAAGTGTGTCTAGTACCTTAAAATATTTTTTGATGCATTTAGTATCCTAAAGTATTTTTTCAGGTGAGCTCAACACCTTAAAATAATTTTTAGTGATCCAACATCAAGACAAAAAAAACACTTTAAAATGTTGGACGTACATAAAAAATACTTTAGAGTGCTCTTACAAAATATTTTAGAATGCTAGATGTACTTTAACCCTAAAAATAATCTCTAAACTTTTTAAGTGCAATTAATAAAAATATTAAAATTCTTAAAATAAGATAAAAAAATTTGCTATATATGATATGTTCTAGATAAATTTATATTTAATTCCATGCATCAATCAAAAATAAAATCAATAACAATCCATAATATAAATAATACAATTTAGGGAAAATTACTGTAGAGTCCCACAGAAGAGAATTTACTGCCAGAAGGTCCCATGAAATCCCCAAATTCCTCCTAAGTCCCCAGGGACCTCTGGGTAAATAATTTGAGTTGTGATATTACGTACTTGCCCTCAGTCATTGATAAAGGAAAGAAAAGAGGGAGAGACGCTGATTGGCTTGATTTAGTGCGGTTGTTTGTTATGCATGCACAAGGAAGAGAAGCTTCTGAAAGAAAGAAGGGAGTTATGCGCTGGTACTCCATTGCAGGCAAGCGACATTATTTCTTCATCTTCTTGGTACGTCTCATCATTAACAACATTTCCCTTCTTCTGTACACAACCAGTGTCAAGTTTAATGTTGGTCTGAAAAGTTGATTGGGTGTTGATATGTGGGTATTAAAGATGCGATTCAACTCACTAAAAATATCAAGGGAGGCTCATTTTAGTCATATGTGGTTTTAATCATGTTAGGTGTGATTTTACTATGTGTGGCTAGGGTTAGAAAGCAATGCTCTGTTTTTCGGTGAATGAGGCTCTGTTTTTCGGTCACTGATGCTGTGTTGCTGATGAAGACGAGTGGAAAATAACAGATATTTATTATTGTAACCCCTCAAATGCGATGGTTAAATGTGTTGTTAATGGGTACATCGAAGGTTGTTAACATAACTGTATGACTTGTTATTAACAACCAGTCGCAGCTTTAATGCTGGTCTGAAAAGTTGATTGGGTGTTGATACGTGGGTATTAAGCATGTGATTCAACTCTCTAGAAATATCAAGAGAGGCTCATTTTAGTCATATGTGGTTTTAATCATGTTAGGTGTGGTTTTACTATGTGTGGCTATGGTTAAAAAGCAATGCTCTGTTTTTCGGTGAATGATGCTCTATTTTTCGGTCAATGATGCTGTGTTGCTAATGGAAATGAGTGGAAAATAACAGATATTTATTATTGTAACCCCTCAAATGCGATGGTTAAATGTGTTGTTAATGGGTACATCGAAGGTTGTTAACATAACTGTATGACTTGTTATTAACAAGTGATTGTGACAGGTTGATATCAAGGATGGCAACTTCCAGTGCAAAGCAATTGTTTTGCTACCTCCATATAGGAGGACAATTTATTAATGGTGTAGAAGGTGAAACGCAGTATGTTGGAGGTGGTGTGAGAACAAAAATGATAAAGGAAGGGACATCATATGGAGAATTTAGAACAATGGTGGCATCAATTGTGGGAAAAGAAAGTAATGGAATGGTTATGAAATTCACAGTAACCTTTGATGAGTGTACATTTATGGACCTTGTAGATGATGAAGGAGTAGAACATTTGATTAACTTCAATGGTGACAGTGGTCATGTATATATAGGAGAAAATGGAGATCAAAATTCACAACTAACAAGGGATGTTGTAATAGAAGAGCAACATGTGTAAGTAGTGTTATTTAAATTTCGAAGTAATATTAGCTATTGTCAACTGTTGTGCATAAGTTGTTATTATAGTGATCGAAGGTTGTCATTAACGACCCCTTGACCTGTTCTGTTATGTAGGATGGAAGACTTGTTCGGAGGTTCAGATACATTGTCCATGTCTTCACCTAATGTGGTTAGTGAAGACCCACTATTGTTGCCATGTGGTTCAGAAATAATGCCAACCCCAATTCCGGAAATGAATTCAACAAAGTGGAAGGGTTTGGTTATCGGAGAAGGACAGATTTTTCCTAATGCAGTGGCTCTTAGGCAAGCACTGTATAGGTACAGTATTGCTGTGAAGTTTTCATACAAGTTTGTGAAGAACAATCAACAAAAGATCATTGTGAAGTGTATGGCGGAGGGATGCCCGTGGTATATGGGTGCATACTCAATGGGACAAAGACAAGATTCTGAGTTGTTAATAATTAGAACCTTAAGAAGTGAGCATGTGCATTATGCACAGGACAGCTTGGTTGTATCTCACTCTAGAGGGTCAAACTTAACATCATCAATCATGATAGATTCTTTGAGGTGTAATATAGACAAGAATGCTAATGAAATTAGAAGAGATCTGTATAGAGAATATGGGGTGCGACTGAATTATAGTCAAGCATACAAGGGTAGAGAAAGAGCATTGAGGGAAATACATGGTCGTGCACAGGATTCATACATGGCGATTCCCTGGATTTGTGAAAGGCTCATTGAAACTGATCCAAACACAAGTGCTCGATGGGAAGGGTTGGATAGTAACAGATTTCAGAGGGTGTTCATTGCTTATGGATGCTCAATTAATGGATTTTTAGAAGGGTGTCGACATATACTTTATATCGACGGCTGTCATCTAAGTGGTCCTTACAAGGGGACATTGATTTCAGCTAATGCATATGATGCGGACAATGAACTGTTTCCATTAGCATATGCTATAGTTAGTGGGGAGACATATGATGATTGGGCTTGGTTTCTCCAGAACGTCAAAGACATCACAAGATCAGTGGAGACAACGATAGTTTCATATCAGAATAATGCCATTATAGGTGCTGTGCGAACAATATTTGGTGGCAAGAGACATGCTTTTTGTTATAGGCATGTGAAAGAAAATTTTAGTGCACATTATTTAAAAATTAACCGAGGCAGGGGACGAGTTTCAGGTACTTCAAAGGACGTTGCATTGAAAATGCTAGATGGAATCGCCTATGCAAGGATTGAGGATGAATATGTTGCTGCAATGGGGAAACTTAGATCATTCTGTCCACAATTAGCTGATTGGGTTGACACTCAAGGAGATGTAGATCGGTGGGCTTTAAGCAAATTCCCGTTTAAACAATGGGATGACATCACCACTAATGTTGCGGAGTCGTTTAATGCCTGGATTTTGAAGGAGAGGAAGCACAATGTGTCAGTTCTCATACATGAGCATATGGAGAAATTAGCCAAGAAGATGGTTGCAAACAAAATGGCAATGGAAAATTGGACAAATGGCGTTGGGCCAAATATTGAGTCCAAGTTGTAAGAAAAAGTAGCAAGAGCGGAGAATATGCATACTGTATATTATGGAGATAACCGAGTTCAAGTTGATACTACATCTCCTACTGGAATAATTTGTGTCACTGTTAATCTCACAGCTCACAAATGCACTTGTTTAGCATGGCAAATGAGCGGAGTACCTTGTGCTCATGCCTGTGCAGCGATAAAGCTACTTCATGGTAGTGTTTATGAATTTGTAGATGATTGCTATAAGCTGTCAGCCCAAGAGAAGATATATGCAAGTAGTATGAGGCTAATTGCGACACATGATTGTCCTCGTCCCGAAGCTCTCACCATTATGCAGATGATGATGGGAACATTTTTACAGCCACCAATCACTAAAAGACCCTCAGGAAGGCCAAAGAAAAGAAGGATTGAATCTCAATTTCAAAGTAAAAAACTTTACCACTGTGGAAGATGCCATGAGCCAGGCCACACTGTGAAGACTTGCCAGAACCCCAATCCAAGTTGAGCTTTGGTGGTGGCTTGTTGATATTTCGTTTTGTGAATGCTTGTGACAGCATTTTTTTTTGTAAATGTCATAACCTACACCTCAAGTTGTCCGTCATTATCCACACATGCAACACGTATGCTTTTTTGAATAGGTTGTAAATTTGGCGTAGTTATGTTGTACATATATATATCAAGTGGTAAATGACACCTGGATGTAATCTGATATAACATCATTTCTGTATTTTTGATGTACTGGTGAATAGGTTGTAATGGACTTGTTATCAGACGCCATGCAGGTTGTCATTAGCAGTCTCAATTATGTTACTGATATAAAGTGACAATTTCTCCTACTTTCAGTGTTCAGTGATTTCTTAAGACATTCGAGCTGTGTTAAAGTCATAATATGATATGATTTGGTTAGAATTAGATCTCTTGTGGAGGTTGTGGTATCCCCAGCGTCAGTTGTCAGGGGCAATGCGAAGGTTGTTAACCAATTCTGTTCGGGTTGTCAACAATCCCTGTTGAGGTTGTAAATGAATTGCTGCAATAAAAATCTGCTGTAATATGATTTGGTTCTTTTAAAGCTGTTAATAACTTTAAAATGCTCCCAATTTTTGCTATTAAGGTCGTTATATGTGCTGATAATATAATTAAGTTAACAGCTGTGTTATACCCCGAGTGAGTTGTCAGGGGAACTGCCAATGTTGTTAATCATTTCTGTTACGGTTGTGAACAACCCCTGTTGAGGTTGTAAACAGATGTGGCAGAGAGGACTCTGATATATGCCTATCATGTCACCATGGTTACCATTTATTTATCCAGTCTTATTCAGTCTGCATTTGTGGCCATGATGAAAACACATGAATGCCTTTACAAAAACTTGATAACCAGTAAAGGATATCAAAACACATTAGCATATCTTAACATGCAGGATTCATACATGCTCAAAGAAAAGAATAAAATGTGAACTTGACGTTCAGATGTCACTATGCTGTCAAATAAATAAATGTAAATACAATATATGCTTGTCATTTATTTCTTCCTCTTGCTTTGGGGGTTTCCTCGCAGCAAAGATAGCACTTCATCGCCATGCAGGTTGGTCCGATGAGTCACGAGCCACCACAAGCATCCAGCCTTCAAGTCATGGATTTCTTCAGGGGAGTACTTAGGCATTGTGTAGCCATTGTCACCATACTCAGTGCCGTCCCATGTTTGTAACCAGCTCAACACATGAACCCCACAAGAGTCCCTACAAAGGAAAAACAAGTACTTTAGTGAATAAACATTAGCTCCCAAAAGTTGAGACACAAGTACTTGTTGTGCTGAAAAATAACTCACGTGTCAGATTGCACATGAACTTTTGCCCATGTGACTTCCTCGTCAATCTTGTCCTCCTCTGCAAACAGTGATGGCTTCAGCACACAAAGCACTTGGCAGAAACAATCTCTCTGCAAAAAAGGGACAAACAGAAGAAACAAGTTTGACAGTTGTGAATGACAAGTTATCAGGAAGCATTAACAACCTTCGCTGTAGCCAATGACAAGTAATCAGCAGGCATTAACAACCAAGACAGTTAAGCAGACAAGCAACCATAACGCATTAACAAGTTATAGAATGAATGTAAAGTTGTGCATACAATCCCTCTCGCCATAAATTGCTTAGGATCTATCTGTCCTCTCTTTTTCCCTTGCTTCCTTTGTGGTTTCTTCCCTGTTTTCATTGCTTCTTCTTCCTCTCTTTGTAATCTCAACATCGTCAAATTGTCCACCAACGAGTCAAGGGCATAGAAACACATGGTTCTTACATCCATCACGTAACAGAACCAATGGTAATTGAAAAGGGTGGGGCCAAATATGAAGTCACAGTCTCCAATGTTATATCCTATGTGCTCCGGTAAGATTTCATGTTCATGTTTTTCCAGGCTCCACCTAAGAGGATTAGCGGCCATTGTTTGCATTAACTCAGGTGAAAAAATGTGCCTACTGACACGACCGTGGTTCTCTTTTTCATCTCCCACCAAGGTTCTCACTACCATAGACATGAACTATATCACACATACAAACAGTTAGTCATGATCATAATGACATTCGCAGTTCTCTATCTATATAAACAACTGTCTTACCCTGTCGTTCATCCATTTCCTGTCTTGTAGGCAGCAAAGCTCAGCACGTGTCAAGAAGTACCCATACATCTCTACAATGTACCTGCAACAAAAGGAACAATGAGCACAAGGGTTGTATGTGTAAAATTGTTGTCAGTCAGTTGTCCCAGTTACAATCAGTCCCAACACTTACTTGGCACCTTCATCTTGATCACATCTTCTTGTGCACATCTGGAATAATTCCTCTTTCTCGTCAGCTTTTCTCTTGCCACGGCCTTTTTTCACCTCCTCTAACCAGGGAGATTTGATTGCACGGCTTCTCACCCGTGTTGATCTTCTTACATCCATTTGCCCTTGTGCTTGCTGGTCCATTTCATCCTTTCCCTCCATTTCATCGCCTACACCCTTATCCTCTTCTGCTGCTGCATCACTAGACTTGTCTTGTGTTTTTTCTTCTCCATCATCCTCTGATCCAGAGTGACTCCCTTCACCTTTCTCCTTAGGTTGAGATTGACTCTCTTCTTCACGCGAAGCACTTTTGCCCTCTTCTTTGTCATCTCCTTTTGGTTCACTCTGTTGTTCTTCTTGTGACAGAATTGAATCTTTTGGGCTTCCTTTACCTTCTTCACCGGTTTCTTCATCTTCAGTTGCCTTCTCTTTGTCATCTTTGCTACTTACTGCTTCCACCACATCTTCCTTGTCAATCTCATCCGTCAACCTCAACTGCAGGAAAACCAACTCTTCTCCAATTGTCGACACCAACCCTTCAACCATGGTCATCAACCTTTCATACGTTCTCTTGATTTCCTGCAAAACAACAGTAATGAAAGTTATCATTACTCCAAATTCTACATAGCACCAAAATAAGCTTCACATGATTTACTTACAGGGTGGGTTAGCTTTATTCCTGTGTTGGATGCACTTGTTGAAGCCCCACCGACACTCGGAACGCCATGCAGTATGCCTCTGTCGCTATTCTTTTCTGATTTCACTCTTGCCTTCACTTTTTCCTCATCCCAATAAGTAATGGTGTAACATCCTAAGTCTTATCGAGTTTTAATAGCCTCTTTTGGTTGATTTTGAGGATAGATTAGCGATTTAATCTTGATCTTGGTGTTTGGGTTGAATTTGAGGTATGTTGGAGGAATAGGTGAACGTACCCCTCTCAGGGCATGTTCGCCGTGGCGAAGTGAACCGGGAGTTTTAGAAGGGAGTGTCTTCTTGGGAAGGTTTGGCAGCGGCGAAGTCATAGGGACGCCGCGGCGAAGTTGTTCAGGTGAGCGAGGCTTCCCTTTCGGGAAGGTTTCGCCGCGGCGAAGGTAAGGGCATGCCGCGGTGAAGTTTTTCTAGGCGAGCGAGAGTTTCCTCTCGGGAAGCTTTCGCCGCGGCGAAGATTGGAGTTCGTCGCGGCAAAAGGTCCCGAATCTATATAGTCGCTGGAGGGTTCAGTTGTGCGAAAATTAGAAAATCTGAAGGAGGAGAGAGGAGCTCTGCTAGGGTTTCGAATTTCTGGCTTGGAGGGGGCATTTCGAAGGATCCATTACCTCAAGTAAGTGATTTTAACCTCTAATCTTCTTTCTTTCTTGGAATTTCTTGGAATTTTTGAGGATTTGTGGTGGAACCCTAGGATTTTCTAGGTTGTGATGGAACTGAGGTTTTTGACCGATTGTTTTGAGTTTAATTGATCGCTTTGGGTTAGTTTAAGTATTTAATCGGTATAGTTTCCTTGGATTTAAAGAATCTTGAATTTTTAGAGTTAGGGTTTATGGAAATAGGTGATTTGGGATTGAGGATGACAATGTAGAGGTTGATTCTGAGTTTTGTGAATTGGGTTATGTTAAGGAGGGTTAAATTGGATGTTTAATCGGTTTAGATTTGTTGTTAGAACCTTAATTGCTCAAATGGGATGTTTGGGTATAGAATTCCTATAGTGGGTCCTTGAGGTTATGAATTTTAATTGATGTTTGGAAAGGAATTAAAGTTTTAATGGATTGGTATGACTTTGGAGTGTTGCCTTGATAGATTTACCCTTTGAGTTGGGTAGAGTTTTGATGGGAGATAAGAATTTTGTGTCCCCAAGTGTTGTGTTGGCCACATTATTAGTTTGAAAGCTAATATATGATGGTTGTGTATTTGTGTGCTTGTGTAAACCGGTTGTGAGTCTTGGTGGTGCACGGGGCCACATTGTCGGTTTGTTATTCCTTGCTCAGGCGAGAGGTAACCACTTTCCAATCCTTAGTACTTGCTTTTGTGGTATTGTGAGTAGATTTATGTTTTGTGCTCCAAGTAGTAATTATGTTCAAACTATATGTTGTATATAAAAAGGGAAAACCGTCTTGTGGGGTTTTGATTGATGATGAATGAAATCTTGAAATTTTGAAGGATATGCCACTGAATGAAGTTACTTATGAGATGTTCAATTACTATTTGAT